GGAGACCGTATGCTGAATTTAACGGTTGTCTATGATGTTGATTTAGTTTTGTCTATTTACTTATGTTACATGTTTTTGGTCTGTGGGAGGAAACCGGAGAGCTCGGGGTATACCCACGCAAACACCGGGAGGTCATGCAAACTCCACACAAAAATGCCGACTTGGCTAGGTTAGATCTGAGCCAGTGACATTCTCGCTGTGAGGCAATAATACTAACCACTGGGCCTCCGTGCTGCCCTGACTAGGAAAGGAGAGGAGTAGGGGTGGAAGGGGGGATTCTTCAAGACGGATATGGCTAAGATAAGATACTCTGGTTATTTAAAGTGATTTAGGAACCGTCTGATTGCCGAATCGTGCGTTAGCTAATGAGGACCAGCTGCTGCGTGTGCTCCTCTCGAAATTAGTTTATAAATAAACTTCACTTATCAGGGGTCACCACAGCGGAGTGAACCACCAAGTATTCCGAGAGGGTACTCGCTGCAGAGCCATTTGAGCAGAGCTGAGCTCCAGCGAGGGGGAGCATGAGCTCTCGCTCTGCCTCCTGTAAGCTGTTTTAATGCGTACACCAACCCCACCCCTAACCCCACCCCCAGTGACATCACTCGTAGAAGAAGTGCAAACAAGGTGGAGCTCAAGCTCAAGCTCCCCCTCGCTGGAGCTCAGCTCTGCTCCAATGGCTCTGCAGCGAGCACCACTTGAGTATTCCAGCATATGTTTTATGTATATATTTTAAGTCATGACTTACTTTGTATACTTGCAGGCCTATTTTAATAAAATAGTAAAAAATATATAATAATCACATAACAATAAAATGCTGAGAAAATAAAATGTTCTAACAGAATCTTTTAACAAACAGTACCTTCATAAACATTTTCTTGTTTGAACTATATTCATGGACAAAATGTTGTTGTTACAAACTGATTTTTATTTAGTTTTTGTTGGTAAAAAAAAATAATAAAAATAATATAATAAAATTTATATTAAGTGGCCTTAACTAATACGTTCTTACATAGGAATTAATAATTTGTTACAATGTACTTATTGTGTAAATACATGTATTTACAGTGTACTTATGCTTGATTAAATACCTGTATGTATTTACATCTGTAATTAACTTTTGTAATTACATTTGTAAATACACTGCTGATCATTCCCTACACCTTAACCCACCCTTAAACCTACCCATACCACCAAACCTGTCCATAACTCAACCTCTATCCCAACTCAAGAGCACCACAAGTGTTCTCAAATACATTATGAACACAGTAAGTACATTGTATTTATTTTTTGATGCAAGTACATAGTAGTTAAGGACACTTAATATAAAGTGGGACCATAATATGAAAAGTTTTTTGTCAACACTGCTCCTTTAAAGGATCCTTCAGTACCTGATGTACAGTACAGTCGTTATATTACTTCATTCAAAGGTATTGATGAGTGTGTGTTATTCAAGATCTGTTCTTTACTTTTGGATTTTCCATCCTGCTTTCAGGGGATCTGACATTTGTGGGCTGTGATCTTCTTAGAGCGTGTTCACGCTGGCGCGAGGATGTGGTAAGAATACATCGGTTACAGCCTATACATCTCCACAGCTTGACTGACAAGGTTTTTTCCACTCCCTTTGAGAAGATAATGAATAAACACAGCCAAATGTCATGCTAATGTTAAGATCTGCGGATTACGTGATGGGTACTAATAACCCAACCTGCGCCACAGTTATGAAAAGACTGGAATTAGATATGAATGTTGTGCCTCTTCTGAATTAATGATTCTATCTCCATCAGATATTACATCAGAGCATAGGATTGTGGACACACACACACACACACACAAAATGGGTTGCTGTTATTGGATTTGGGACATGCATATCGACCAGATGGAGAGTTTCGAGAACAAGTAATCTTAAGGAGGCATGCATGCTGGTTTAAGGTCATCAGGCAAACACTTTCCCAACACAAGTGAACACAACCTTTTCGTAATATGAAAACCCAGTATTTTTTACAGTGTTAGCAGTGGTGTAAAGAGTACTGAAAATCATACTCAAGTAAAAGTACCATTACTTGCCTAAAAATGTAGTGCAAGTAGAGTAAAAGTATCTGTTGTTAATATTACTCAAAATATGAGTAAAAAGCCCTTTTAAAAGTACTCATGAGTAGTGAGTATTACGCTGTAAAATGCTGATTCCTTTACATGTAATTTGTGGATGTGTGTGTAAACGTAACATTCTGTAGTGCATGTAGTTATTGACTAGCAGGCACAAAACGTCGTGGGACAATAATATTAGGTTAGATTTAGGTTGTGATGTCAAGTGACCAAAATTCAACGTCTAGCCAGCGTCTAAGGATAACGTTATTTTGATGTCTAATAACAACGTTGAATGACGTGGCATGGTTGTTGGTGCCAGACGGGCTGGTCAGAGTATTTCAGAAACTGCTGATCTACTGGGATTTTCACGCACAACCATCTCTAGGGATTACAGGGAATGGTCTGAAAAAGAGGAAATATCCAGTGAGCGGTAGTTCTGTGGGCGCAAATGCCTTGTTGATGCCAGAGTTCAGAGGAGAATGGCCAGACTGGTTACCACTGATAGAAAGGCAACAGTAACTCAAATAAGCACTCGATACAACCGAGCTCTGCAGAAGAGCATCTCTGAACACACAACACGCCAACCTTGAGGCGGATGGGCTACAGCAGCAGAAGAGCACACCGGGTGCCGCTCCTGTCAGCTAAGAACAGGAAACTGAGGCTACAATTCACACAGACTCACCAAAACTGGACAAGAGAAGATTGGAGAAACGTTACAACTCACAAATAGGCAAGTCTAAATATAAACTGTGTGTTCAGGGATACTTTAAATGCTTTAAAAGATTCTGCATGCCTAATATGAGGCAAGTGAAATCCAGAGTATTGGACCAAAGAAAAAAAAAAAAGGTCATTACTATGATCAGGTTTCTTTGCGTGACACGCAGAATGAGTTCAGGCGTGGTGATTCTCTGTAGAGGGCTGAGGAATTTATCAGGGTCTTTCAGTCTAAGAAAAAAAGAGCGAACGGGTCATTGGGAAAAACTGCATGTGACATTTCTCTAAAACGACGTTGCACTGCTTATTGAACGTCTCTCAGTGCTTTCAAAGTGCATTGAATGTTAATGTGGCACCATTTTACGACACATTTTTTTTGTATCTATCATGGCAGATTGGAAATGAAACGTCTGTTGAATAGCGCTAAAAAGATGAAGGCTCAGTCGTGTTTGGAAATATAAATAAAACCTCTCCAAACCGTACTGATAGTGTTAAACAAAGCGTATGTTAGATAAAGATGCATTTTTAAAGCAACCGTATCGTTTTAAGTTGTTTCTACAAGTCTTTGAGCTCTTTATCAGTAGCCGTGACTCATGTTTCATGGGAATCGCATTCATGTGCTTTGCATCACAAGGTGCTGGAATCCTTGAAAATGCTGGATTTTTCATCTAGTGTTGTCAAGGTTTCAAAAAAGTGCTTTGATTTTGCATGAAGAGCTTGAAGATATAATTGTTACTTTTGCAATAATTTATTACTAAGTAGGTAATAGTTATTAACTATATGTGTAAAAAAAACTCTGAATATGCCTGCATCATAATCTGACCTTTTTATTTTTTTACACTTCAGATGTGAGTAAATTGGGCGGCACGGTGGCTCAGTGGTTAGCACAGTCACCTCACAGCAAAAAGGTCACTGATTTGAGTTCTGTCTGGGCCAGTTTGCATTTCTGTGAGGAGTTTGCATGTTCTCCACGTGTTGGCGTGGGTTTCCTCCGGGGACTCCGGTTTCCAAGTACAAAAACATACGCTATAGGGGAATTGGATAAACAAATTGGCCGTAGTGTATGAGTGTGTGTGTTTCCCAGCACTGGGTTGCAGCTGGAAGGGCATCCGCTGTCTAAAAACATATGCTGGAATAATTGGTGATTCGCTGTGGCGACCCCTGATAAATCAGAGACTGAGCCAAAGGAAAATGAATGCGAATAATAATAATAATAATAATAATGGGTGAGGTAGGCGCAGTAGGTAGTGCTGTCGCCTCACAGCAAGAAGGTCACTGGTTCGAGTCTCGGCTCAGTTGGCGTTTCTGTGTGGAGTTTGCATGTTCTCCCTGCCTTCGCGTGGGTTTCCTCCGGGTGCTCCGGTTTCCCCCACAGTCCAAAGACATGCGGTACAGGTGAATTGGGTAGGTTAAATTGTCCTTAGTGTATGAGTGTGTGTGTGAATGTGTGTGGATGTTTCCCAGAGATGGGTTGCAGCTGGAAGGGCATCCGCTGCGTAAAAACTTGCTGGATAAGTTGGTGGTTCATTCCGCTGTGGCGACCCCGGATTAATAAAGGGACTAAGCCGACAAGAAAATGAATGAATAATAATAATAATAATAATAATAATAATAATAATGATAATAATAATAATTTGTATGTTCTCCCCACATTGTTGTGGGTTTCCTCCGGGTGCTCCGGTTTCTGTGAATGAGTGTGTATGGATGTTTCCCAGTAATGGGTTGCACCTGGAAGGGCATCCGCTGTGTAAAAAAGTAAAACATAGGCTGGAATAGTTGGCGGTTCATTCCGCTGTGGCAACTCCTGATAAATAAAGGACTAAGCCAAAGGAAAATGAATGATAATAATAAAGTGTAACACATCTCAGTCGAGGACAGCTAAACAATAGTGTTACACTCAAAACATGATGTTTCCTGCATGTTCAAACTACTTATTTAAAATTTTGTTTAATTCCTGAGGTTTTCTGGGGGACAACCTAATTGTTTATGTTTAATCTACTTAAATTTGTAAATAAATTATCAAGTTTACTTAATAGATTTGTGTTAGGACAAGCATTTTTTACAGTTCACCTTAAAACCTGTTGCAGACCCTTCGGCTAGGCATATCACTTAACAATCATCACACAAAAACACGAACATGTGATCACAACACAAGGCCTTACACAACTATATGTGTGTGTGTGTGTGTGTAAGTGTAAGTCCCTTCCCCCAGCAGCTCTCGTAACCTCTGCGTGCTCCGGCGACAAGCCTGTAAACCACACCGGGGCTATTAATTAATTAATGGCCTTCAGTCCAGCGCCTGGCGTCCTCAGAGCAGGACTGCGAGCATTTGGAGACCCACAAAAGCATTAATGTAAAGGGAGGAGGTGGCCGTTTTTTCCCAAAGGCCATCAATCACCTGCACTATTGTGGTCCTGCGCAGTTTTGTTTCGTCCAGGCTGAAGGAAGGGGAGGGATGAGACGCGGGAGAAGAAGAGGGAAAATGGCGATGGAGGGGCCTGGGAATCAGCCGCCATCCCTGGTCCCTTTGCTGATGAGCGTAACGGCGGTGTTGATCTCACATCATTTCTTTAACGCGGCGGCCCAGATACCAGACCCAGAGGTAAGACCTGCTTGTGTTTTATGAGGCCTAAAGCTGCTCTGCTGTTGATGTTCGGGCGCTTTATATTAAATAGACTGGCGATGGCGGGTTTTTATTTTTATGGCAGTCAATACACTGACACAGCTGCGGCGGTCTGGATGACAGCCGCATGAGGGTTCAAACAAATAGATGTCTTTATTGGAGAACATTTTCGTAATTCTGTTAGCATTTACTCTCCTTTTACTTGTTTCTGACCCGTATACTTTAAACACATGCGGCCCTGTCATTCACCCTGCACTATAAGGCGGGTTTGGCGCGATTTGTTGCTATTTTCAGACACGCGCAACTTTAATTGTCAGGTTTTGCGCCACGCTGTTTAAATAACAAATCCATTTGCGCCACTTTGTGGACTCATGGGTGTGCTAGCTAGTCTATAAAGGAGATGTGTTAAGGCGCATTGTTGGAGCGTTGCTATTTTGACGAACTGAACTAGACTGTGCCATCAGGGGTGGACTGGGACTAAAATTCAGCCCTGGCACTGTAGCCACATCAGCCCACATTACCACACCGACACAGCCCCACCCACGGACAAGCACATTCACTATTTATTTTGGTGTACAGATGGTAAAATAATATGACATTCTTGCCAGATTTTGATTACGTCCGGGTAACCTCGGATTGGGTCGGCCCATCTTGAAATTAGGCGGCCGTCGCCGATTGGGCCAAATTCTTAACATTTATTATTATTATTATTCTTTTTTCTTTTTTTTATTATTTATTTTATTTATCATCATCATAATATCACATCTAGCAAGATATAAAAGCTGCCTGCACGTAAAAACAATTAAAAAAAATAAAATAAAAAAACTGACCGGCCCACATTTAAAAATTGGTCCGGCCCTTCTGGAATTTTCCAGAATTGCCAGATGGCCAGTCCACCCCTGTGTGCCACTGACCAACTAATAGCTGCTCTAAAGTGCGTTAGTTATGTGCCTATGCAGGTACAAACATTTGCACACTGCTGAATACACACAGGAGGAACAGAAACACACAGTTGAAAACAATTAAAGGATTAAAATGTTACAAAAATGATTATTTTCTACATAAATATAAAAACCACTGCCACCCTGCCTCATCTCGGGGGGCTTATTTAGTTTATTCATGACAATCTGCATCTGCTTGTATAATGTTATTATTATCATTATAATGTTATTATTATCAGCAGTATTATTTATTATAAGCACATTTATATTCGTTTAAATAAGCACAAGTGTAGATGTGTCCAGCTGTGGGGTTTTGGAGACGTCTGCATCAGCATATGTGGATAAGAGCAGGACGTGTGTTTGGATATAACTCAGTTTTCTGACCACACTTCATTATTATTGTTCATTTATTCCTTTGCTGGAGATTAGAACTGAATTTAGAAACAGTTTTGACACAAATCTTTGCACTTAACAAACAAGATTAAGTATGTCGGCTAATGGATGTGTTCAGTGGAGTGAGTTTCCACCGTTTCCTCACTCCACCAAAGTAGAGTAAAGTAAAGAGAAAGTAATGAGGCTGATTGGAGGAGGCTCGTTCTTTATCTTCGCGCTGCAGATGCTCTGTTTAACTGTTTTCTTGCTAGGGAAGCATTCAGTTTTTACACTTTTTTTTTTTCATGTTCTCCCTGTGTTGGCGTGGGTTTTCTCCGGCTGCTCCCGTTTCCCCTACAGTCCAAACACATGCGCTATGGGTGAATTGGGTAAGCTAAAATTGTCTAGGGTGTGTGTTTGAGTGAGAGTGTATAGGTGTTTCCCAGTGATGGGTTGCAGCTGGAAGGGGTAAAACATGGACTGAATAAATTGGCGGTTCATTCCCCCTGATCAATAAAGGGACTAAGCCGAAAAGAAAATGAATAAATGAATATTGAGAACCCAGGTTTCTTTGAATATTGTCTTAGATGATGAGGGATCAAAATGGCAACCCTGGCTCATTCTGAAAACGTAGTCCTGTGGATGTTTCTTAAGACCGTGAAATACGTCCCGGGAGGTATGTATTTGTGCAGTTTTTGCGAATCCATGAGAGGCTGCTTTTTCGTATCTCAAATGTCTCTCGCGAGTGCTGTTCGCACCCTGCGCTGTTCTCGGCTAAACCCACCAGAGGGCACTGTCGAACAACCGCCTGTCTGACTGACTGATTGATTGTCTGTGCAACCGGCCAATCGACTGACCCAACCGCCCCACTTACTTCCCTAAACCCAGCCAACAATTTACAAAAGTTGTCCAGAAAAAAAAAAAACCCTCGTCAGATTTTTTACCACGCTTTCAGATTTTACCACATTCTCACCCTGTTATGAACTTGTTCACTTTATTTTTTGGATTCTGTTTTTGTCTCACCTGATTTCTGGAACCGCCCGGACTCGAACCTGGAACGAGCTAACTGGACATACTGGTTGTGGCAGGAAAACCCTCCACACGGAGGTAAACGGTCAGCCCAGGTGTGGGCAAACTTGATCCTGGAAGGCTGGTGTCCTGCATAGTTTAGCTCCAACCCTATTCAAACAGACCTCCCTATAGAGTTCAAGTGATCTTGAAGACACTGATTAGTTTGTTCAGGTGTGTCTGACTAGTGTTGCAAGAAAACTCTGCAGGGACACCGGCCCTCGAGGATCAAGTTTGCCCATCCCTGGGTCAGCCGGTAAGCATGAAAAGGAACGGCGTCATACCGCCCTGTAGCGTTCACCTAAAAAACTGAATGCAGCCCTACGTATCTCCGGCTACAGTCTCCAGAAACGTCCACAGGACTACGTTTTCAGAATGAGCCTGCGGGTTGTAAAAAGGTTAAGAACAACTGATCACACTCAACATTTAATACTTTGATCTGTGGCTGTGTATGCATTAACCCAGTTTAAATTAATCTGTTTTCAGTAAAACTGAACTCACTGCCACTGCCTGGACAATTGATCAAGTGTTGCGATAATTATAATTATAATAGCTGCACTAATTTCACAGACATCATACACGCATTTCTAATAAGTTCAGCCTTGGTTACATGTTCATGTTAGCCATATTAGTTTATTGAACTGATATGAATAATACAGCTGAAGTCAGAATTATTCGCCCCCTGTGTATCCCCCCCCCCCAATTTCTGTGTAACGGTTAACTCATTTCTAAACATAATAGTTTAATAACTCGTCTCTAATAACTGATTTATTTTATCTTTGTCATGATGACAATAAATAATATTTTCCTAGATATTCATCAGGACACTCTATGCAGCTTAAAGTGACATTTAAAGGCTTCACTAGGTTAATTAGGCAGGTTAGGGTGATTAGGCAAGTTATTGTATAGCGATGGTTTGTTCTGTAGACAGTCGAAAAAAAAAATTGTCCTTAAAATGGTTAATAAAAAATTAAAAACTGCTTTTATTCCAGCCGAAATAAAACAAATACGACTTTCTCCAGAAGAAAAAACATTATCAGACATACTGTGAAAGTTTCCTTGCTCTGTTAAACATCATTTGGGAAATATTTAATAAAGAAAAATTAATTCAAAAGGGGGCAAATAATTCTGACTTCAACTGTACGCTTGTGGTAAAGACCAGAAAAACCTCAAGAATTGTGTTGATTCAGCTCATTTTAAATAAGTAGTATTGAGCAAGCAGCAAACATCTTTTTGTTTTCTCAAGTGAATGAGAGCATGTTTTAAATTCCAGTCGTTCCTTGAGTGCCTATACCACTGTCACGGTGCTTATGAAAGCAGTATTCATAGAAAATAGAAGAAAACTAATTGAAGTGTGGAGGTGACGGGAACTGAAAAGTAGAAACGGCCTGAGAGGAGTGATTGAAAACGCTTTAATCATGTCAGCTATTCACCTCTTCCTATTACATTTGCAATTACGAGATAAACTTCAGATTTTTGAGCAGTTCTCGGTTGACAAGACTGAAACAGATCAGCTCAAATTATAAGATTGCGCTACACATAATCTGTCAGTCCGACTGAATAAGCCTTGTATTTACCTTTATAGTTTTGAACAATGCTACGGTTGGATTTTAATAACATTGTAAAAACACGAATATCCTTAAATGAGCTTCCTTTTCCTGATTATTTTCTCTCCGCCTTTGCATTCTGCTGTAAATAAATGAAAAGATAAACCTGCATGTGCATCTGCGGCCTGCTCTCCTGGTTTTATTTATCGTAAATCCTATGAATAATTCATTGGAGTGCATCAAGAATCTTTTGTTTTCTCCTCAAATCCTCACATCTCTTTCAAGGATTGTTTTTTGCGCAGATTAATTTAATAAAATATATTTGTTTTCCCTCTTGAATTTCCAACGATCAGTGTTTACTGTGCTTTTTAGGGAAAGCCATTTTGAAACCTGATCAATAACTTTTCTAATTGTAATTTAGCTTTATAATACATTTATAATGCATTTTGACATTGTGTAATACATAATGGGGCAACACGGTATCACAGTGGGTAGCACGATCGCCTCACAGCAAGAAGGTCGCTGGTTTGAGCCTCGGCTGGATCAGTTGGCGTTTCTGTGTGGAGTTTGCATGTCCTCCCTGTGTTTGTGTGGGTTTCCTCTGGGTGCTCCAGTTTCCAAGTCCAAAGACATGCGCTATAGGGGAATTGGGTAAGCTAAATATGAGTGAGTGTGAATGAGTGTATATGGGTGTTTCCCAGTGATGGGTTGCAGCTGGAAGGGCATCCGCAGTGTAAAACATATGCTGGATAAGTTGGCGGTTCATTCCGCTGTGTTGACCCCAGATTAATAAAGTAAATAAGCTAAAGAAGAAAATTAATAAATGAACAATAAGATATAATGTTTATTTTTTTATAGTATAAATTAACACATGCAGGTGATATTGAAGTATAAATAATATGAGTAATAATAACATATCTTCATAATATTAATGTTTTGGGATATTAATGGCCTTTTCTATAGATTTCTTAATGTTTTTATGGTAGCCTTTTTTATCCACTCAGTAAATAAAGGCTTTGTATTTTAAATGGTTTTAATTTAAACCATCTCA